GGTGTCTGTCCCTGGGGTAGGGAGCTCGGAGGCACCTACAGCGCGGGGAGCGTTTTTCAGGTGGAATCACAGGATAACCAGGCAAGGGGACAGCCAGCTCTGAAGGGACGCACTCCGTTACATGCAAATAATGCTTGTGCCAAGGGAAAGAAACAAACCCCCAAAACAAACAAAAAAGCCCCACCAAAGAACACACACACCCTCCCCCCCAACCAAAAAAAAAGTGCAGTATACGGACTAGAAATATTTGACCCTTCTAGTCTTGGACAGGTGGAAAAACTCTGATGACTGTGAATTAACTAATTTGGAAAGTCTCCCAACAGCACATGGTTGGAATCGGATGCCTGCGGCCATGCTACTTCAGGAGAAGCTGTCCTTGCCCAGGAGTCGCTCACAACAGGGTAAGGCAGCTCCTACACCCACCACGTTACCTAGACCACATCTCATCGACGGGCACAGTACAAGCAGAGTAGATCCTAAAGCTCAGAGATTTAGGCTCCAACAGTGCTCTAATGCTGGTGCAAAAAATAAACGGGAGACAACAACAGGCCTCTAATAAACAAAGTAAAGGAAAAGTCAGAATTTCTTACTTGAGTTTTATCTAAGCTAGCAACTTAAATGTTTTCTTCATCTCTTACATGACTGAGAAACAAAGAGAAAAGATTTCATTGCACCTCTGAAGAGCAGCAGGTTTTGAATGGCTTGCTCAGCAAAACTAAGGGAGGTACCTTGTTAAGTGCAGTTTTACTGCATGCTCATCAATACAGCATTAGAGCACTTCCCATGAACGTAGTAAGTACTAAGAAGTATCTGTCATATGTTAATTCACTCCCTACAGAGAAAAAAAAATGCACGCATGTGAACATGAGCGAGGAAGTACAGTCATTTGGAGGTTTGTTTAGGGATCTATTTTAGCATACATATTTTATGTATTAGAAAAGTCAAAACCAAAACAAACCATCCAACAAAGCCTCACTATATTGTTACTCTCATTCATATTTTTATTATCCATACTAATTATTTCTGCCACACATATTAAGATGTTTTCTATGCTCAAGATTATCACTAATGCAGAAATTGATGCAAATTTCAATTTTTACTATATTTCATAGTCAACATGAGCTCATTTATCACTGTCCACAGTTTACTAAATAAGGTCAAAAGTCAGTAGTGTTAAGTTCCTCACTCTCCACCATGCATGTATTTCAATACATATCTTGAGCAACATTTGCTCTGACCACAAACATTTAACAAATTTGAAATGCTTTGCCCTGTTATTTGAAAGACTGCATTGAAATCTGTTGGAAAGAAGATGACTTCTGCCAAGAAACTGCCATCAAGTCCGAACACTGAGCAAAACCAATCTCCTCATTTGCCTCTCTGCGCAAATCCTGGCAATCCGGTGTTTTCCTGCATGCTGGACCCCAAAACACTCATGACCAATGGTTTTTTGACAAAGCCTCAGGTTTTATTATTTAAAACAACTTCAAGTGAACATGGTGCTATACCACCTATCTCACAGATGGCACCCTGTACTTACCATCCAGTGGATCAAACCTTTTCAAAACACTTACTCACTTTTGGATCATTTCAAGATAGTAATTTAAACACTGCCATTGACAGAAGTAGGGTATATGACTACCCCAATTTACAGCATACTCTGTAAAAACGCATCTCCATTTTTTTGCCATAGACTTAGATGGGACACTTAGCTTGAAGAAAACAAATCTGACTTATTTCAGTCATTCTGGTAGTAACTGTCAGTATCTGATTTATTTTGGGTTTGCTGGGTTGAATAAGACGTAACAAAAACGACGTAGACCATTTGATGATACACTTCTCTCAGGACACTAATACCAACACAATGCATATGACTTTGATATGGTGTACATATGTATGGTGATATGTATCAGCTCAGGTATTGAAGTCAGAAGTTTAACATCCACTTGCTCCCAATATAATCAGGTGAAACAGGCAGATACTGTTCATGCCACCAAGCACATTTGCTTCCCTAACCTTTAAAGAGGGCACTGTTTCTATTTCATAGCAGTAGAAAAAGATGCCTCTCCACATCAAAAATAGCCTTGAGTAGCTATAACAAATCACTATAATACAAATAGCCTATATAGATGTATACAGATTGTTCTAATAGGCTCTGGAACCAAAACAGAAAATGAGGAACTTGCAACCAGTGTCTGCTTCTTTGTATTTTCTTTTTCCCATTGCTAGTGTCTCTCCTCCTTAGCCCCCACCTCCCCTCAGAAAATAGCCCTATTTTGGCAAGTATACCATTACACTCAACCAAGGCACTAAAGCTCCTGCACTGCCCTCCTTCCAACGGCTATAAATGAAGCATTCTCACCCCCTTCCCTTGCAATGCAGTAGGTATCTGCAGGAAAGAAGGAACAGCAGCTACCCCAGACATTTCTGACTCACCTCAGCACTCCTCTCAAGGCTCTATGTAAAGCAATTGGAAGAAACACCTGCCACCTTCTCCCTGTTCCAAAAGTATAAAATTTACACAGAATAACATATGTCTGCATAATAAATATTTTCGTCTAAAGACAGAAATCAGTCATAAATGGTATTCAGGAAACAGACTGATACAGAAAATTCAGAAGTCTGCTAAAACTGCTACCGAAAGGAGTGTAGTTGAAATAGTCACAATTTGGATAGAATGCCTAACAAAACAGAACCACTTCAAGTCCAGTGTTCCAGGTTGTCATGGTAATACAAATGCTAACCCATATATATAAACAATACAATTTTAAATTACATTCTTCCACCATCCAAAACAACAGGTGCAGGACTCCCAAGCACAGTGTCATGCTTCATGTCATTTTACAACACTTGTAACCTCACCAGGATGATCCCTTTTTTGAGAATCTTTAATCATACCAGTATTCCTAAGATACTGGTCAATGCCAAAAGAGTACAAATTAAAATACCAGCTCAAGAAAAATACATATTCTCATATAAGTAACAATGTTTTTGATTTAGAATATGCTTTACAGCTACACTGTAAGATTACTAATTGTAGTAGGATGGAAGAATTAAGTCATATTCATTGATAGGACAATTTGTCACAGGATTAATTTACCACTACACTAAAATACCACACTACAGGTTTATAATTTTTCCAATTACCTTGTTTGTTCAACCCAAACAAATGTTTCAAAATAGTCCAAAAATATTCAATGTACATTACCTAATGTTAAAAAGAATGTTCTGCATGACATAAAATCTACCTCTATGCTTCCAGGTGGAGGTTTTCCAAATTGGATGCCTGAATTAGAGTATCTAAATTCAGTGTCTTAGTTTCAGATGTGCCAAACACTACGAACAATAAGAAAAGAGGAAAGCATATAACCATAACCATATAACACATAACTGTTTCCGCTTTGGTGGAGAACAGAAAGATAAGACGTTAACAGATGTTGACTATATGGAGCTACTGAAGTTGTTTGAAAACCCATTGTCTAGATTCAGTAGGTATTTCCAGACAAATATTTCATTTAGTTATGAGTAACTTTAAATCAAGTACCAAAACTATGTTTTAATATTCAGCTCACCAATATTTCACTGAAAGCAAAAATGACAACTTTGTATATCAAAGTGATATAAAAATATATCTAATCATATTTGTTATAATACTATACTTTCCAAAAATAGTAATTCATATATCCAATCTTTTACCAATTCTGTAGGTGCTCTGAGTGAAACAGAAAAATATCTAGTTAACAACATATTAAAGAGAACTAAGATTCCTTCTGATGCCCTCAAAAGGCATCCCCCTCAAACTTCCTTTTTTTTTTTTTTTAAGAATCTTGTGTTGTTCCTTGAATTAGGTGTCGGATCTTCTCAGCATCTTTTTCAATAGTTTTATTTTTAGGATCAATCTTGAGAGCTGCTTCATAATCCTGGAGACCTAATAGAGATACATTAATAAGAATGTCAATCAATAATGCAAGAGCATCCTCTTTAGCAACTAACTGGAAATAACTGCTCCCTAGTCATACGCAGAAAGTATTGATCTTGAGTTTTGCTATTGAGCAAGATGGAATCTGAATGACATTAGGTTTAACTTTTGCCAGTAAATACATTTATATTTTGTTTATATACTTTACAAAACATTTTAGTGGAAATGCTGTACTACATAAACATTTTCAGGTATTGAAACATGAAAACAGAGCCTCTTCATTTACATATACATACACACATATATATGCGTATGTGCATGAGGGGAGTGTTCAAAAGGATTCTGCAGAGGAGATAAAAATTGAATGACAGAATGAAAGTGCATGAAAACAAGAAAAAAAAAAAAGACATGAACTGTGAATACTAGAGCTTGGGAGAAAAAAAGCAAACCATGAGTTCAGGAAGTAAAATAAAATCTTGTTTAATTGTCTTTTTTATAATGTTTCCAAGTGCAAATGAAGCTGTACGGGAATGACGAAGGGATTCATAGGTAGAAAAAGGTAACCAATGTGAAAAGCTTAGTATTTCAACATTGACATTTTGAGTATTCTTCACTTTCTATTATCGACTTTCATTTGTAAATTTGCCTTACAAAATGTCCTGGTTTCGGCTGCGATAGGGTTAAATTTCTTGCTAGTGCTGTGGTTTGGATTTAGTATGAGGAGAATGTTGATAACACACTGATGTTTTCAGTTGTTGCTAAGTGCCCTCCTAGTCCAAGGACAGCTCCCATGCCTACTGACTGAGCTAGGTACACAAGATGGGAGGGAACATAATCAGGACAGCCAGCTCAGCTGGCTAATGGGGTATTCCATACCATGTGACATCATGCTCAGTATATGAATGGTAGGCGTGATCCAGGAAGTACCGATCGCTACCTGGTTATCGGTCAGCGCGGGTGGTGAGCAATTGCATTGTGCATCACTTATTTTGTATATTTTATCATTATCATTATTATTCTCCCTTTTCTGTTTTATTAAACTGTCTTTATCTCAACTCATGAGTTTTTCTCACTCTTATCCTTCCGATTCTCTCCCCGTCCCACTGGGGGGGGTGGAGTGAGTGAGCGGCTGCGTGGTATTTGGCTGCCTGCCAGGTTAAACCACGACACAAAACTAAACTCTTACAGAACTCAGTAGGGACACTGTTAATTCAGATATTTTCACACAAATCACATGTACTTGATTAAACATTTTGCTCATCAATATGGGTTTCATACATCATTTTACAAAGATACGTTATTAAGCACTTCACAAGCAAATACTTTAGAAATATTTAGGTTATTTTAAGTTAATTTGTTCTATAGTTGGAAATACTGTAAATACAATCTCAAAACCAATAAAACATTGCTTCTTGAACAGCAAAACTACTGCAACCCACTTTGCATCCTACATTTGAATGCTTCCCAATGCAGATACCGCATCTCTGACCTCTCATTCGTCTCACTAATACCTTCCATGGCCACCAAGATGCTACGGTCAATAGCTGGCCATTACGCACAGAAAGACTGATTACCCAATAGACCAAACAGAGGATACACAAAGCTAAAGCATTTTCCTCATCAGAGAAACTAATCTGTACTTGTTAAATTAGGAGTACAATCAATTTTCTTAAAAGTTGTAAAGATTTTTCAAGTGGAATTGCAATTAGCTAGTAAATTTAAAAAAAAAAAAAAATTAAGGAATGTGGTATAAAGGTTCATAACAAAAAGAGACGTAGATTGTATAGGCCTCCTTTAAAAAATAAAAGTGTGAGTGTCTCATTGAGCTAAACAAAATTATTTGCAGTTACTATAAATCCACATGCATGTTTTCGTAAAATCAAGGTCTCACCTTCAGTATATAATTCCAGCTGACAAAATGCTGTTCCACGTCTCACATATGCTTTTACTCGAGCATTCTCATTATCAGGAACAGGTGGTGTCAGCATTTCTAGTGCCTTTACAAATGAAAACACCCAAAATATTTAGAGATAGATTTTCCATAATTTTGAGGTTTTTTCTCATTTACAGACACTTCTCTCACCTAATTACTATTATTAGGCACTAACAAAATAACTATTCAAACAGAAATAGAAAATAACTATTCACATTTAACTATATTGTTTGTGAATCTAGTCATTAAGATTTGTATCTGTGACCCCACTGTTTGCTAAATACAGTTTCATTGCCATGGCTAAAAACTGACAAATACTGTGTTAAATGTTTATTACAGCCAAATAATGTATTCTACCTTCATACATGATATTACATATGATGCTACAAACAAAAAAAAAAGAGCAGCCCTAAAAAAGCACATGTGTTGTAGCAGTAGTTACTAGAAAAAACAAGTTTCAAGCCTCAAATACTTATCAGTTCAAAAAATAATAATTCTGGGACAACTTTTTCCAAATTATTCAGGTGCCAGTTCAGATCACTCCTCTCTCATTGCACAAATAATGGCTGCTAAAACATCGAGATGATACAGCCCTTCTTTAAAAATGTCTGGTTTGCTGGGGTTTTTTTTAAGGTATGCTCCTCTTCACCATCACCTTTTTTTTTTTTCTTCCCAAAAAGAAGAAATGAAGAACACCACAACATAATACCAAAGGTATCTGCGGTTTTTTTTTTTTTTTTTCTGCTCAAAGTTGTCTTTTTTTTCAAATGTATATATTGCTACAATATTTTACCTGTAAAGAAACATGTACTGA